CAAGCTGCACTCTCTGGGGACGGTCCTCCAAGAAGGAATGGAGCCAGGCCAATGCCAGACCACCTATTCCCAACTCGGAGAGCCTCCCCAGGAGGATACCGTGGTCAATGGTATCAAAGGCCACTGAGATGTGAAGGAGAACCAACAGAAACACTTTGCCCCTATCGGCCTCCCTCAGTAGGTCATCGCACAGGGCGACCAATGCCGTTTCTGTACCATGGCGTGGCCTGAAGCCCGACTGAAATGGATCCAGGGCATCTGTTTCATCCAGGAGCACTCGAAGCTGATCGGCCACCACCCTCTCGACCACCTTGCTAAAGAAAGAAACGTTGGCGACGGGTCTATAATTGCCAATTTCATCCGCCGCCAAACTAGGTTTCTTCCTAATGGGCCTAATGAGCCTGTCCTTCAGGGCAGATGGGAATCTGCCCTCAAGGAGAGACCCATTAATTATTACCATGGCCCATTCCTGGCTGCTTTGATTAGCCAGGCCGGGCAAGGGTCCAAAGAGGAGGTGGTGGCACGGCAGCGATCAATCGCCCTGGCCACAGAGTCAGGCGTGACAGGCTGAAAAGAGTCAAATATCACTGGGCAGGACGGAGCGCTGGACATCTCTGCTCGACTCACTGTATTCACAAAAGGAGAGAGGTCCCGGCGGATGGCCTCCACTTTTGATTTTAAAAATGCTGCAGATTGGTCTGACGAAAAACTAGGGGGAGGCCCATCACCCAGACCAATTCCGGATAGGTTGCGTACTATACGTAATAGCTCCGCCTGCTGATTGGATGCCTCGCTTATCCGGTTAGCGAGGTATGATCTAGTGGCAGCCTTTACCTTGGCAAGGTAAAGGTTAGTAGCGACCTTGACAGCTATCCAATTATAATCCGTCGGGTCCTTTCTCCATTTGCGCTCTAGCCGTCTCCTGACCCGCTTCAACGCCCAGAGATCCTGGTTAAACCAGGGCGCCGGGCGGTCTCTGCGGCGGAGAGGGCGTTTAGGAGCGATTGTGTCTACAGCCCTAGCCGCTGCGGCGAACCAGCCGTCAACCAGAACCTTGACAGGAGCGCCAGCCAGGTCAGCCGTAACCCCTCTCATGGCTTCCTGGAATCCGGGCGGATCCAGTAGCCTTCGAGGACGGACCATGACAATAGGTCCTTGCTCCCTGCAGGGGGAGGGGAGAGCCATTTTAAGGGTGCATTTTATTAGGTGGTGGTTGCAACAGGACCTACTTCCCTCCCTCTCCCTCTTCCCCCGGGACCTTTGCTGGCATCGTCAACAAGGGCTGACAACTGGCAACAAGGACAATGGCCCACAAGGAAGACATTCAAAACGAGGCAAAGTTCATTGGTGCCGGCGGCAGCACGTCCTGCCTCAAGTCCCAGTTGGAGACCTGGATATTTTGAAAGAGTTCTCCTCTCCATATACAGCTTCCACATCTCTAAGCTTCCCACCTTTAGAAGCTGTTATGTGGAGACACAGGGGGAGGTCTTAATAACAACAACAATCAACATCATAATCTCAGAACTGCAAAGCTGGAAGGGACCCTATGGATCATCAAGTCCAGCCCCTATCAAGGAGGCACAGTGGGGAATCGAACTCCCAACCTCTGGCTCCACAGCCAGATGCCTAAACCACTGAACTCTCCAGCAGTTCTTTCTTGGGTGTAACCAAGAGGCTCAATAGATGCTGATAAATTGGCAGCAAGTGAAAACGCATTGAATAGAGCCATTTGGGGGTGGAGGATTATGGCCTGCATGGCTTTTAATGCATTAATTTCATGTTTTACATTGCTTAATGTTAAACTGCTTTAAGGATCTTAGGGTTTAAAATTGTTTTATACAGCTCTGTAACCTGCTCTGAGATCTTGTGATGGAGGGTGGACCATAAATGTTTTAAATAAATAATAAATTAAATAGGTAAGCGGTAGGAAAGCTCAGTGAGAGATGTCAGATCACCCATTAAAGCAAAAGCCTGTTTCCTTTTATTACAGTACTGTAAAGCTTTAAGTGTTAACTCCCTGAGACAACAGATGGGCAAAGCAAGCTATTCTGTCGTCCAATGATCTACCACAAAACAAATCTGCCATATATGGATTCAAGGAACCTGGTGTCAGAATAAACCAGTCTATCAGGGACCCTTGCCTCTGGTCCTGTGCTTTTAGAAGTCAAGTCTGCATTTTTAGGGGGTGTAGTACTCTCTCTCTCTCTCTTTTTTGGGGGGGGGACTCTAACTCCCAGAATTCTCTGAGAATTCTTTTTTCTTGGGGGAACAGGGGTACAAAAGTTCAGCAGCAAGTCTGTTTTCAGCTGTAAAATGCTAGGAGACATAGAAAGAACAAGGGAAAGACCATGTGGTCCTTAAGATTACATGAATGTAAGAATGGGTGATACATTTTATTGGACCACTAAAAAAAAAATCAAACAAATCTCAAGCTTTCATGGAGAAATGTCACTTCATCAGGTGATGCTTAGCCTGATGAAGTGGGATTCCTCCACAAAATCTTGCAGTCTGGTTTATTTTTTAGCAGTCCAAGAACAGGAGACAGAGTTTTTCATTTGTGACCCCCAAGAGGGCTGGCTGTGATCTTCACTCATTCTCAATGCAATCATAGCCTACAAAGAGGAGCAATGGGAGCCACTTACCTCATCAGACTCTTTCTTAGGTCCTAAAGAGGAAAGAGATAAAAAAAATAAAGAACTCAGTAACTGGCCTGGGGAGAGGCACCCCATCAGACCTAAGTCGGTGATGAATGCCAGACTCTGTACGCACGGTGACATCAACCTTACATCACAAAACTGGACACTAGAGGTCCAAAACCATTCCCACCAGTGCTGGGGCAAACTCTCCCACCAAACAGAGAGAGAGGTATCCCTAATGCCATCATGGCACACTATCTTCCCCAACCCCGCCCAACCAGGAGGATGGGAAAGAAAAGTGAGAGGATAGTGATGATGATGGCTTTCTTCATCCACTGGCTGCTCACCTTGGCTGCTCCTTGGTCATCTTCAGGAATAAGGTTACAGGCCCTCAACTGAGACCTTACGGTAAGGAGTGAGCAAAACATGTCTGTCAAGGCAATAGCAATACAGTACTTTGGCCCTTTCTTTCCCTAGTAGGTATTATTAGCATTATTCCCTAGCGCCAGCCCAGAAGCAGCTGAGATCTTCAGGCTGGAAGGATGGCACGGCCACCCTCTTTGTCCCTGACATGAGGGTTCTAGGCTCGAGGGAAGCTCCTTGGCAGGTGCTTAGGATAGAAGCACTGCTGCCATCTGAAGGTTCCTGTTTGGATTTTTTTTTCTTTCCTCCCCCAGTATAGCTGGAGGTTTTAACCCAACAATTTCCACACACTGGACAGATAAGAGTGGTGGTGGTGGCTTTCTGGAGGCCTTCAGTGATCTGGGTGTGTGTGTGGGAATGTAGTATAAAAAGTAACATTTCCAGGTTCTGATAAATATGTGCTTTGTAACACAGTACTTCTATGCTGTGTTCCATTGCACAGTCAGCTATACTCTTACCTTCAGGTATTCATATGGGGGCTTCTGGTAGTTCTCTTCCGTCTCCTGAATGAGGCCGTCAAGAGTGGCAAGTCCAGTGGAGAATTTAACCTGTAGCTCATCCCTTTCCCTGGCTATCTCCTCCTTCAGTTCTTTCATCTGGGCTAAAAGAAGCTTCTCTTGCTCTTCCAGAAACTGATGCAGTTGCCGGAACACGCCTATGGTAGCTTCCTCCTCTGCTTCTATACATTTCTACAACAAGAATGAAAATGGGGGCAGAGGAGGGGACAGTAGGCCCATGTTACGGACAGGGATGTTGACAAGTCTTTGGGCCTGAGACCCAACTCTAAGTCCGGTTTTTGGTACCAAGTCCTGAGCCCCTATTAAAACAAGCTTTTTTTACCCAGAAAAATGGAGTGTGGCCAGGTTCTGAGTTACTAGTCGAGTCTGAGTCATTAAAAAAAATAAATAAAAGTCAAGTCAAGTACTAGTGAAGTCGCTGGTGTGACTTAAGTCCAACTTGACAAGCACTTAAGTCCAACTCTAATAAAAGTAACCACAGCACAGAGTCCTGACTCCATGTCCTCTGAAGATGCCGGCGACAGAGAGCGGAGAAACATTAGGAAGAACCACCTTCAGAACATGGCCAAAGAGCCCAAAAAACCCACAACAACCATTGACAGGGAGTCTCGCAACTCAAGTCCCCATCCCTGGTTATGGATAGGGTCATTCCGTGCAGCATCAAGAACTGGGCGATAAGAGTACAGCACAGAGAATGCTCATGACATTTTACCAAGGTCTGATGAATATTTTGAAATTGCTTCTTCCAAAATTTCAAGGGACCTGTCCTTAGAATGCTTATCCATCAACATTTTGTATTTCAGACATATCCAGATATAAATATTGTTACACATACTGTACATTCACACTTTATTCTGTCTGAACGATAGGAGCTTTCAGGAGGACAGCCCTTAGTTTCCTTGGAAGGAACTCACTGTTTATGGTCTGAAGGCAACAGTGGCTGATACTTTTATTAGTGCACTAAAAGAAATAATAGCTTCCCTGCATGGGTGTTCATCAGACATGTACAAGGTTGAAAACTAGCTAATGTTTGTGGTCTAATAAAGATATTACCTTTACCTTTGGATTGCACAGAAGGACTACACACTGCTTTTAAAAATTCTTTACTGTTTATGCAGTTTCTTCAGTACAGTGGTGCCTCGCTTGACGACGTTAATTTGTTCCAGCAAAATCGCTGTACAGCGAAAACGTCAAACAAAATAAAAAAACCCATTGAAATGCATAGAAAACCGTTCAATGCGTTCCAATGGGCTGAAT